ACATTAGCCAGTGTGCCAGACTAGAATAGTCATGAGCCAGATGTGGAACTTAGGCTATGACATTCTGAAAGTCTGCATGTGGTCTCACCTTTAGTAGAGAGTGGTTGTGTGCACACACGTATGCAGGGCTTTGTGTGTTTGTGTTGGTGATCTGCCATTCACTGTGCATGTGTATATCTGTGGGGACTAGGAGTAAGAAGTGTATGTACTTGTGTCTGTGGGTCACTCTGGGACTGGGGCCATAAATACATAACATCAAATGTATATTCACACGTAACTGGCTACTGAGAGCTTTCTGACTAAGACTTTGTGAGTGGTCCAGCCTTGAGAATGCCTATTTTATATGTCAGAGTGTCAGTGAGGGTGACTTTGGGAGGACACCCAGGATTTGCCCTTGGTCAGCCCTTCTAGGACACACTGCCGGGTCCTTTGGTGTGTGTGAAGCCTCAATGCCGCTTCCTCTTTCCGTGCTCCCCTTGGCTTTAGACTGGGTCTCTGCCTCCTCACAGGGAGATGCTGAAGAACTTGACCACACCAGGAGAGATGTTCCTTTCTTGTCAGCCTTCTGTTGTCTCCCTGGCAGGCAGGGCAGCACTGGAACCTGGCATTACCTGGGGCCTGGCCTGCCCCATGGATGGCTGGGAGGGGCCAAGGGAGGCAGTTTCTCAGCTACTAATTTGGCATCTTTGCTTCCTAAATACTCCTTGAGTATGTAAGAAAAAGAATCATGGTGTGTGTAGGGAGGGTAGGTGGCATACTCTGGGCATTTAAAAAGGGTGTGAGTGTGAGCTTTGGTCCTCCATGAGGGCCCTGCAGAGCTGTGGGTACCCAGGTGGGCAAAGTACACATGCCTGGAAGCATCCTGGATTCATGCAGCAGAAAGCAGGAACCCCCTTATTGGAAAAAGAAGTAGGAATGAAGGACAAGGAGTGGGGAAGAGGGCGGTCCCAGGAGCTCAGCACCCTGTGCCCAGGCTCAACTGGAAAATGTTTCCCCGTGATGCCCACCCCTGTCCGTAGAGACCAGGTCTGCAGAGCCAGCAGCAGATGTGCTGGCTGGGGCAGGAGGTAACTGAAGATCTGAGCAGGGATCACCTTGCAGAGGGAATGCCCTGAGCTGGAGATAACACCCTTTAGTCCAGTTAACCCTTTAAGCTCTGGATTCTCTCGTGCTGTTGGGGGCTAGGAAATGGGGAAAGGAAAGAGAAAACACATCGAACATAATACTGGAACCCCACCCCATTCCACATGGAGAGATGAGCTCGGTGTAACAGGAGAGACCTGAGATGAACACAAAAAAAGACTTTCCGACAGCAGATTGGAGAATCTTCAAGGCAACAGATAATCTCAGGTTTAGCCTGGGTGGGGCGGGGGAGGCAATAGGTATGTATTCTTAAGGGACTCGTGGGAAGTCTCCCTTTCACAGCCTCCCAGGAGAGAGCAGAGCAGCAGTGGTCCCAAGCCCTGGTGGAGGGAGAGCAACAGACAGCTCAGTTCTCTCTCTACAACCTGGTGATCACCCCATCCTGGCAGCACAGCATAATGAGATCACAAAGTGGGGCCCCCTGGACTGGGTTGGAATCCCAGCTCTGCCAATTACTACCAATTACTAGCTGAGTGACCTTGGTTAAGTCACTTCATAGGCCTCAGTTTTCCCATTTTTTTTGAAACGGAGTCTCGCTCTGTCACCCAGGCTGGAGTGCAGTGGCACAATTTCAGCTCAGTGCAGCCTCCACCTCCCAGGTTCAAGTGATTCTCCTGCCTTAGCTTCCCAAGTAGCTGGAATTACAGGTGCATGCCACCATGCCCAGCTAATTTTTGTATTTTTAGTAGAGACAGGGTTTCACCATGTTGGCCAGGCTGGTCTCAAACTCCTGACCTCATGATCCACCTACCTCGGCCTCCCAAAGTGCTGGAATTACAGGCATGAGCCACCGCGCCCGGCCAGTTTTCCCATCTTTGAAATAGGCTTTTGTTAATACAGATTCCCAAAGAGGTTTGTGAAGATGAGATTGAGAATGATGTATGAAAAGTGCTTAGCACATTGCCAGGCATGTGAGTACATGTGGCGAAGTGAATGTCTGTCCCCCATGCCTTCCCTTTCAAAGGTCCTGGCCCTGCTGAGTCTGCTACTCGTGCTCCCTTGAGAAAGAGCCACTCAGCTGCTCAAGCACTGTTGACCTGACTTCCCCTGTCCTCAGTCAGGTGCTACTTGGGAAGTGAGTCCCTGCTGCCACTCGGGGGGCCTGGCTGCCTGTGGGTACCTGCGCAGGTCCAGTGGACATGGTTGAGGGCTACCTAGGCAGCAGGTGTTGGGTGGCCTTTGTTCTGCCGCTTGTTCGCTGAGGGCTCTCCCTCACTCTCTGGCTGTGGCCCAGATGAGGCACCAACTGCCCATCTGGAGGCTCCCTGCTGCCATAGACAGGGCCTGGGACTTGGCCCCTGCCTTCCTTCACTTCCACATTTGAGGGGAAGGTGGGCAACAACAGCCTCCCTCCAGGACTCCACTCACCCGGTGAGATGGTACCAGCCAGATGGGTAGAGAATCCCTGCTGGGGTTACCTCTTTCTCACTAGCAGAAGGTCCTTTCGGCCTCCCTTTGTAGACTGAATCCTTTTGCAAATTGTAATACTGTCTGTGGCACTCTGTAGCTACAGGTTCAGCTGAGCCTCTCAGGAGCCCCATGTGAATGGCATTAGTGTTATATTAGCTCCATTTTAGAGATGAGGAAAGTGAGGCCTAGGTGTAGTAACTTACTGACCATCTTGTGCTGTTGCGGCCAAATTAGACACTAGGTCTTCTGACTGCAAATCCAGTAAACCAGGATGAAAAGATCGGGGATGGACAGACAGAAGAGGATGAACCAGGCTGATAGAACATTAGAGAGTGTCTTTGGGACAGTCCTCTCCGCTTCATCAGCTACCACCAGCTCACACTCCCCCCACAGCAGGGCAGAGCCTGGCAGCTCCCTGGGGATGTGAGGAATCAGTTGATACAGGTTGGAGGTTGGCCAGCCGGAGCTGACCGCAGAGCCCAGGTTGGTGTAGAATAGGAGATGCCTAACAACGGGACATTCCCCGGGGCCAGGGAAGCAGTGTCCTGGAGCATCTTTCTCTCTGGGTATTTGGGCTGAGATATGGGCAGGGCCCCTGAGGCATGAGCATGGAGCTGCAGGGCACAGGCAGGCACAGTGTCAGGGCGTGGGTCTGACCTGGGCCACAGAGCAGATGTGGACTAGACAGACAGAGCAGCAGAGAGGCATGGGGACTGGCGCTTTCCTGGACTATCCCCCACCCGCTCTGGTCTGCACAGACCCCAATTTCATTCTCAGTTTATGAGGAGTCTCATTACCAAGCCATAGACAATAAAACCCGCCTGGCCATTCTGGCCCGGATCTCATTAGAGGACATTAGTTCCGCTGGCTGGTGGCCCCACTGGGACACAGCTGCGGGAGTTGGGACACAGCTGCGGGTGTGGCCCAGGCAGCAAAACAGGCCAGTGGCCATGGGCACCAGAATGTCCCATTGGGAGTCTGAGTTCAAGCTATGGGTTTAAATGGAGTCCCTCCCCACAAAGTCCTGGAATGCTTGCTTCCCAAAGCTGGAAACTCATGTCCTGCCCTCCCACTTGGATGGTCAGTTCTGCCCCCTGCCTGAAGAGGAGAAGGACACAGCTCCCTCCAGGGTTTTCTGAGGAGCCGGCCTTCTCTAGGAGGAGCTGGCTGGAAGCTCAGCAAATCATCATTCCTTGGAGGAGGACCCTTGGGGACAGGGGACAGCACAGCCTCCCACAGCCTGTATGTCTGGTTGTGCTCTGAGAGATATGTCCTGGCGACAGAGATGGACTCTGGGGTCCTGGCAGCAGCCTTGGCCTGAATCTCAGCCTGTCTTTCTGTCTGAAAAGTGAGTGCAGGGAGTTGGGGACCCCAGAGAGGAAGCGTTTCCCCTCACCTATTGATGGAGTTTCACCCACGGCTGAAAGAGGCAGCCACTAGAGAGAGCCAGCAGGTAGCCTTGGCAGGGGCTTCCTAGTCCCACTGCTCCCCAGTTTGAGTACCTTGTCCTCAGTTACTGTGCTGGGGCCTTGGATTCCATCTTGTTGTTCTTTCCACCGAAAATAGGAGGATTTCTTTCTTAGCAGATGCTGGTGCCTGCTGACCAGCAGCCTCCTCTCTGCTTGTGTCTTCCCCTCTGCTTTTCATTCCTCCCCTACAACCCCACATGCCTGCTGGTCACCAGAACACCACCCACCATGGCTTGAAGGACATGGCCACGAAAAACAAGACAAGAGCCAAGGCAAGTGTGTCCCTTCTTGGTGCCTCAGGCTTGTGGAGGAAAATGAGTGTCATGCCCAATAACTGGCTTTTAGCACACACAGGCTCACTCGGGGTGCTCCCATGGGGGGTCACCCGGGTCAGCCCACAGTTTCGTAGGTACCTGCCAAATGAATCAGTAGAGATGGGAGTGCCAATCTGCTGGGGCAGACATGAGTCCACCTGCTGTGGAAGAAGGAGGACCGAAGGACTGCGTGGACTCTGGAATGCCCCTGTGAGGGCCTGCCGGCAGCTGGTCTGGAGAATATGCCCCAGGCAGGACTGAGGAGGCAGCTGCTGTGACCATTCTGTGTGTCCCAGGCACCCTCTTCCTCAGTCCTGGTGTCTCATGGACAAATGCTGTCAGCTGCTAGGACAAAGGCAGTGGAGGAAGTGCCTCTTCTTAGCCAACTCTGTCACCATGTCACATCCCACTGTTGGGGAGGTTCCACTGTTGGGGAGGTTGGTGGCACGTCCTCAGACTACTGTTCCAGTCTGCCCACACTGTCCCTTGCTTGAATCTGCCTAAAGCACACCTGAGGGGGCACCGCCCCTCCCTGACTGGTCCCCCACTGCCCTCCCCTGCACATCATGTTTTCATGCCCAGTGCTTTCCCACCTCAGTGCCTTTGCACATGCTGTTCCCCACATTCTCCCTAATTTCCCATAAATACAAAATCTAAATACGGAGGTCAAAAGCCACTTCTACCATGAAGCTTTCATGAACTGCCCCCCAAGCTAAGGATAACCTCTCTCATCTTAAAGCCCCCCAGCACTTCATCCATGCCACCCCCTGCCACCAATTACTCTCCGTCCTGCTATGCAGTCATTTGGGTCTGGGATTTATCTTTGTCACAAGACTGAGAGCTCCATTACTGATAGGGCTTGGTTTCTCCAGGGCCTGGCGTAGGGGACCAGTAGTCCGTGCTGGGTGGATGGACGGTTGCCTGTTTGAACAGTTGACAAGGCTAGTAATAGCACATTTGTATTGAGAGTTCCTGGGTACCAGGCACTGTAGTAAACATCTTACAAGTAATCACTTATTTAATCTTCATAGCAACTCATATGGAAGGTACTTCTGTTCTCCCCAGTTTTATATGGAGAAATGAGGCCCAGATAGAGCTTACCTAGGGTCACACAGCTAGTAAGTGGCAGAGTCAGGATTCAGGTCCCAGAAGTCAGGCCCCATGTCCCTGATTATACCACGTGGCTAAGCTGCCTCTTTTCCTGGGGGGTGGCAGACAGGTGACGGAGGAAGACAGTTTCCTGAGCCTGGAGTCCTCACAAGACCTTGCTTCCAGAATCTCTTCCCACTTCCACGTAGCGCCTTCTTATTCACGTTCCTGTGCCTTCGATGGCGCAGTGGTAACCTGGGCTGTAGTTGTACATACCTGACACATTTGGGGAGTTATGAGTTCTGAATCTTCAGACAGTCCTGGTACAGGCTGAACATCCCTAATCCAAAAATATCAAATACAAAACTTTTTGAGTGCCGACATGACGCCACAAGTGGAAAATTCCACTCTTATCCTCCTGAAGGGTCGCAGTCCAAAGGCAGTCAAAACATTATTTCGTGAACAAAATTATTAAAGCCACTGTATGAAATTACCTTCGGGCTGTGTGTATAAGGTGTACATGAAATAGAAATGAATTTCATGTTTAGACTTGGGTCCCATCCCCAAGAAAACATTTTGTGTATACAAATATTACAAAATCTGAACAAATTTGAAATCTGAAACACTTTGGGTCTCAAACATTAGGGATAAGGGATATTCAGCCTGTATTACTGGTATAGCCTGCCACAGACACTGTTGTATCAGGAGTATTCATGTGGCTGTGCCACAGTGGAATGACTTGATGTAATCACTGTTTCATCTCCTGAGTTTTTGCACATCACTGATACCATTTGGGCCCCCCTGGCCCCACCAGCACCACCACATCTCACAGTGAGACCAGAGGCAGATGTAGTAGCTTCTCTGGGAGAATCTGCCTGGAACTCTCCCAGCAGGTGTTCCCAAGCTGGCCCCAATCCTGGGTGGATCCAGGGCTCAGCAAGCTGATCCTATGCCAGAGCCTGTCCTAAATTTTTGGAAGGTTTCAGGCTCTCTTGCCCTCACCCAGAGATCCCAAAAGATGGCAAGGGAGGGGCCCCTACCAGGGAGTGTGGATGGGGAAAGGATTTAGGGTGTTCACCTGCACAGGCTGCTTTGATCTCCTGGGATAAAAGGGCTGGTGCTTCCTCTGCCCCAGGCAGGATCAGGACAGCAAGCTGGGCAGAGAGACATTGATCCTGGGTCCAGGCGTCCTCAGCTTCACAGACGAGGGCAGAGAACTATTCTAGGGAAGAAGATCACCGGGGCAGAACAATCAAAGCCCTTCCCCAGTGTTGTGGCTGAGGACTAGGAGTTGAGTCCAGACAGTCCACATGCAGATTGTCCTCTTGAGAGTCACCCAGGGCTGATGCTCCTCCCAGCACACCCTGACCCTGCAGGTTACCATGCAGGCTCAGGCCTCAAAGACTCCCTTGCTTAATTAGGAAGGTAATTCGGCTGCAAAACAGTCATCTGATCTGTGTCGACACCAAAGCAAAATTCCTCCTAGACCCTCCGCTGTTCTAGATTATCCATGCTCCGTTAGCTTGAATTACCACGAGGCCTCTGTGGCCCAGACACAAGCCAGAGCTATGTGATCAGCTCCTGGGGCTGGATCTGCCCTGCACCTAGGAAGTGCTTGAAAGCAACAGGAGAATGGAGGGCATAGGACCTCCCTCTCCCATCCAATCTTGAGCACTGCCCAGCCAGCACAAGGGGACCAGCATTGCCCAGAGTCCCCCTGCCCCACGGCCTGCAGGTGCCTGCCGGACTCCCAAGCTTAGCCACGTTTATGCCCCCTCCTCTGCCCACTGGGGCCAGGCCACTTTTGAGGGTTTTGAATCAGTGGCAGAGGCTTTCTGCCGTAACTCCTAGGCATAAATTGGAGTGGAGGCCGGGACAGGCATCTCCCTGAGTGTAAATAAGATCGGAGCAGAGCAGCCGCACTGCACTGGATTATTTTATCGTGATTGCCCACATCCCCTGCCCCTCGAACTGTCCTGATCTCATTGGCCTAGATTGCTGCATCTCTCAGAATGATGGAAGGGCTGCCTCTCCCTTCCCGGGCAGGGTGGCCAGCCCTGCTATTGAGACACCCTCCTACCCAGCAACTTCCCAGATTTATTCCCTGTCTTTATGGTGCCTGAAGAATCATCAGTGTCCTGGGCCGGCAGAGCACTCTGATGATCACTGGCGTGATGGATGGGCCTTTGGGGGAATGTGTGCGACAGCCCACTGCTCCTGGGCGCCTCTGCCCCAGCCACAGCACCATTCCCCACCCTCCAAGGGGTCAGATGATGGGCCTCGTGGCCAGTCCTGAAGGGGTGGTAATGATGGAGAGGGAGACAGCGCCAGTCCTTGGTGCCTACCTCTCAGTGCTGCTGCAGGGTCTCCCTGGCCTCCTCCCCGAGCTCTGCTCACAAAAACCCTTCCCAGGAACTATCCCCCGTTACCCTCTCTCATCTCCCGTCACTCCATTACTGCTATCCTCTCAGCACTTGTGTACACAGTTTGCGCTGTAATGATAATCTGTGCTGGTTTATGTGTTTCTTTACAAGTGTTTTTATGTCCTCTGTGTGTGTATGAGGAGGTTTATAGTGTGTGTGCGTGTATGAGGTCACGTGCTCTGTGTGTGTGCATGTGTGCGTGTGTGCATGCGCCTGCTCCTGATTAGACTCTGATCGCCATCTTCTCCCACACAGAGGTGGGGGGCTCTCACTCCACCCTGGGGCTGGGGGCACAGCCTGGATACTAAGGGTGGGTGGAGAAGGAGGGGGACCTAATCAAAAGTGATGACTGTCCGGGCAGGGTCTACACTGCCCCCCAGCCACCAGTTAGAGAACTGGCGAAGGTCAGTCTTAGATCATTGTTTTGTCTACAGGGTCACAAACAACTGGTTTGTCTATTTTCCCCCACGAAATTGACTGAACCCAGTGGTTATTTTGGAGTCAAATGATCTCAGCCTGTTATGACTTACCTGTGTCAGTGGGTATATCTGTGTCTTCTCTAAACAAGTTGCCTTAGCAGCACAATGGGATGAGATGATAAGAGGCTGGAAGGGGTAAATAACGCATGTGGTGTGCTTAGCACAAGCAATAATTTGTTTGATCCAGAACAAGTCTTCACCACTGGGCTGTTGTGAGCTACCATTTGGAGAGACTCCAAGTCTAGAGAAGGAGGGTCTGTTCCCTGGGGCTGGGGAAGCCAGGCCCAGGAGCCCTCCTGGCTCTGTGTGCCCCAGAACACTGTGGGGATCCCCTCTGCTGGGCTCCTGTGACTTCTCCAGGATGGTCAATGCGAGCAGGGTATGTCTGAGGCTTAGACCCCTGGGCTACTACTAGAGATCCTCCCCAGCCCCAGATGGTCACCCGGGCAAGGGCCTCCTGTGCTCCCTTCTTAAAGGGAAGCAAGGGTTACACTCAAGGTGCAGAATTCTGGCTGTCCCAAGTGCACAGTGCCAGTTCCCTGTGGGAACCCCACTGCCATGGATGTGCTGTGGGTTCATCCCGGCATTCACACGACATGTGCCAGGCACAGAGGTGGGAGCTGTTGACAGCAGCAAACATAGTGGCTAGTCCAGCACTCCATGGCATCCATGCTCTGACCTCTGACCTCACACCCAGCAGGTGACCCCTGAGGGTGCCAGCTTTTCCAGGCAGGAATGCTTGTCAGATTGAGGCCTGGGTGGGTGGTGCAGAGATGGAGCTGGGGCCTTGTGCGTCAGACCAGCATAAGCCCCTCACTCTCCTTAAGCCATCCTGCTTGGACATGAAGGGACAGTGACACTAGGCAGGGGCCTGCATTCTCCTTCATTCTGCAAAGGTGTGTTAAACACCTGAGCCCGCCAGGCGCAGTGGCTCACACCTATAATCCCAGCACTCTGGGAGGCTGAGGCAGACAGATCACCTAGGTCAGGAGTTCGAGACCAGCCTGGCCAACATGAAACCCTGTCTCTACTAAAACTACAAAAATTAGCCAGGCATGGTGGTAGGCACCTGTAATCCCAGCTACTCGGGAGGCTGAGGCAGGAGAATCACTTACTTGAACCCAGGAAGCAGAGGTTGCACTGAGCTGAGATCACGTCTTGCACCCTATCCTGGGCAACAAGAGTGAAACTCTGTCTCAAAAAATAAAAAACCTGAGCCCACTTGTTCATCTCCCAGACCCAGGTCTGGAAAGAGCCTCCCAGCTGGGCCCACAGCTGAAGGTAACACCCTGCCCTTCAGGGGAAGGTGGAGAGGATGTCAGAGAATCCTAGTCTCAGCATTGGAGGGGAAATCAAACGCTGTAGCACCCCATTAACTTCCTAAAACCTCCTAACCACATTCCGGCCTGTTGGTCGTCCTCCATTGACAGGGTACTTTCCACCCTCCATGGAAGCCGGGACAGCCCTGACCATGTAGTTCCGCCTTCCCCCTGCAGCTCCCTCCCATTAGTGTTGGAATCACGTGGAGCACATGTGATCCTGCAGGCATTTACAGACAGCCTCTCCCAAGTCTCACACGCCTCACCATCTCAGGTGCTCCCCTCAGATCCCCAGCAACAGCTCCAGATGTGGGCTGCTCTGCCCAGGGATTTCAGCCTAGGATTCCCAGCTGCCACAGCTGTCCCAGATCTAGGAGGAGGCAGTGTGGGTGGGCCCTCCAGGCTTCCCCATCTCCATCTCACCCTTTCCCAACTCCCACCCCTTCCCACCCCTGTTTTCCTTTGGATTAATGATAAATTTCAGTGAAAGATCAGCTTATCTCCAGTGGGAATTAAGGAATTAAGTTGGCCATGGGGAGAGAAGGGACAAGGAGAGGAAGCATATTGCAGAGGGCTGGGGTGCAGAAGGACTGTGGGCAGGGCAGGACAGGGCAGGGGACTCGGGACTGTGGAGCAGTCCCCTCTGCCTGCATTGATTCACCCTGGGGTGGGCTGGTCTGTGCCCCCTACCTGCCTGCGCCGTCGTGAGAGATGGATGTGGGGCTGCTTTGAGATGGGTGTGGTGACTAGCAGAGGGAGATGCATCCCTGGGATCCTGCAGGTGGTGTGATCTGGCAGCCTCCCGAGTCGCTTGTTGGTGCTTCATGCCATGGTGCAGTGGCTCTGTGGCATGTCCTGGACCCAGGAGGGTGAGCAGGACCCAGGACCATGTGGCAGGGTGGGGTGCCCCACTTTTGGCATTAGGATACAGAGGCACATTCTGCAGTTGGAAGTCCAGGGGCCACTACCCCATAGGTGGCTCATGAATGCCATCCAGGCATTAACACAACGCCCCGGCAGGCCCTGGCTACCCCTCAAAAGGGACCCACCCAGAGGCTGCCACTCCTGCCTCTTTGCTCCTTTGGTGGGACTGGCTGAGCCTGGGTTCTTGCAGCAATGGCTGAAGGAGAATCTGAGCTTCCATGTATCCTGAGAGCAACTCAGAAGCCTCCATCCTGAATGCAAAGGGGGGCCACTCAGGGTCTGCAGCCTCCCTTGGCGCCAAAGCCCAGGAGACTCTGTTTGGAGTTTCTTTCCAAATCCCCAGGCTTGCTGCTCCTTGGCACCCCCCTGGCATCAGATGTCTCACTGGCAAGCAACACCGGGCGCAGGACTGCGGCCCTGGACATTACCTCCCCTTGCCAAACTCTGAGGCTAACCCAGGAGAGATGGGAGCTGCCCTCCAGAGGGTGGGGGGGTGGGGAGGTTGGAAGTGAGACTGGGTAGGCCAGAGGACATGACTGCCCCGCAGGTCACCCAGGCCAAGCTTCACTTGCCTCAAATAAGTTTCAGTCACTGTGGTCTCATTCTTTCCTGACACCCCCAAGACTGGGAGTAGGGATTGAGGTTCCAGTAGCAGTAGCCACCAGGGCATTTGGAGATAAGAGGAGATGAGGGCCAGGCCAGGCGGAAACAGTGGGGGTGGGGGGAAGGGGGGTGGAGGTCAGGGGTGGGGGGGGGAAGGGGTGGGGTGGAGGTGAGAGGGAAGGAGGGGTGGAGGGGGAGGGGGAAGAAGGGAGGCAGGCACATTGGGGAACTCAACACTCAGGAAGCTGGGAGGTCAGGAATTGGGCCCTCAAGTCAGGGAGTCTAGCGGGTTAATAATATGTGACTTTGGTTAATAAATCATGGATGGTTTTTTTCCCTAATTTCAGCTTTTCCCCCACCCCACAATCCTGGAGATCTTTCTAGGCTCTGCCCAGGCCTCCGAAAAGAAGCCCCCACCCCCACCCCTGCCCTGGGCTGTCACCTCCCAGGCAAGATTTGCCCTCTATCCCTCCACAGCCCTCCCTAGGCCTCTGCCCCCTCCCCCAGCTGGTTTCTGGTCTTCAGAGCCAGCATGGTGTTTAATCTCCAAGAGAGATTAGTGACCTGCTTTCACCGCCCTCCCCCGCAGGCTGTTCGATGCCCCTAGATATTCCCGGCTGGAAGGGCAGGCCCCCTCGGCCACCCAGAGAGCATCTCCAGGTGCCTTCCTTGACGATGTCACACACCCCACCCATTGACCCACTTGGCCGAGGGCCCTTTCTGCCAGCCAGAAGATGTCCTGGGGCACCCTGTGGGTAACACTGCCCAAATGCTTTAGGTGAGGTCAGTCAGTCAGTCAACAGATGTTCCTTGGACATCTACTATGTGCCAGCCACTATATGTCAAAGAAAAAAATACTTTAAGCAACTGAAACTGAGGTTAGAGGCTGACGCACATGAGTGAAGACCAGGTGACTCCAGGACTGGCAGTTTAGGGTGAGGAGAAAAGGGGACACTAGGCATTTTTCATCTCTAACTCTAGGATACTTTGGTTAGAGGTCAGGCAGGTTTCTGGGTTTCTGTCCCTTTTGCAGGATTGCACCAAGGGCAGAGATCTGCTTTTGTAAGCCTTGTGGTGGTCAGGGAGCGGGAGGGAGGAAAGAGGAAAGGGAAAAGGAGTTGCCACCTTCCCCTCTTTTGAAGGTTTTGAAGCTCTCCTCTTTTTGAAGGGTTGAAGCAAAAGAACAAGGGGTCCCTCTCCCATCCTAAACCTTGCACATGCTGGGCTGAGAGTACAGTCGTGATCAGTGAACTGTCCTCAAAACAGGTGAGGCCCCTGCCTGCCAAGTGATGCTTTACACAAAGCCCCCAGAGAATTAGGTGATTCAACTATCCCCGGAGCTTTCATGGAGACATGGGAGGCCTAACCTGGGGGAGGGGAGGCTTCTCTGGGGCCTTGACCTTGATTCTGAAACCTGGAGGCGGACATTACCTCCCCTTGCCAAACTCTGAGGAGTGGGCTGGAATGTGACCAGGACAGCCAAGGGAGACCCAGACACAAGCACACCTAGAAGAAAACCAGCGACCCCTCAGCCTGTGGTCTGGGACTTGAAAAGAACAACCCCCCAGTGTGTTCTCTTGGGCTTCAGCCTGACCTGTGTGCAGTCCAAGCCCAGCTGGTCCACAGCCACCCTTGCCCTCTTCTTCCCAAGGTACAGCCCATCCCAGGCTCTTCCCATTTCTCTGCTGAAATCCCGGTTCTGCTGTGCACCGGAGTCGTGGCTCCCTCCTTCACCACTGCCTCTGATTTGCTGTGAGTTCTTATTCCATTTCTGCAGGACCCCCTCCCATCCTAGTACCATCACCCCTATCCTGCCACTCCTGTGCAGTGTGACAACAAAAAGTGTCCTCGAACATTGCTGGATGTTCCCTGGGGGGCAAGAGTACCCCAGCTGAGAAACTACTGGTCTAGGCATTCACTGCAGCCAGCCTCCTTTTCCAAAACTGCTTTTCCACTGACTGCTCTGCGCCCCCACAACTTTACACGGACCTATTTTAGGTTCCAGTCAACATAAACGGCTCCCAGCTTCTCCAGTGCATTCCCCATGGCCTTGGCTCCTGATGATGGCTGAGCCTTAACACGCCCACCTATGAAATCTGGGGTTCCCAGATGCCACCCCCTTCCCCTTCTGTGTTGTTTAGTATTTACTTTAAGTCTCTCCCCACTCTGCCCCTGAGCTCTTTTGAAGAACAGGACCCAGCCTTAAAATCTCTGCAGGCCCTAGCTCGGTGGCTTGCACAGAGTAGGTGCCCTGTAAATGTACAGTAAACGATGGGAGCTGGCTGGCTTCATAACCCCGATGAGCTATGAGGTTTCCTTCTCCTGTGCCCCTTTCTTTCTTTTTCTTTTTCTTTTTTTTTTTTTTTTTTTTGAGATAGAGTCTCACTCTGCCACCAGGCTGGAGTGCCCTGGTGCAATCTTGGCTCATTGCAAACTCCGCTCTTGGGTTCAAATGATTCTTTGGCCTCAGGCTCCCGAGTAGCTGGGATTACTGGTGCCTGCCACCACACCTGGCTAATTTTTGTATTTTTAGTAGAGGCAGGGTTTCACCATGTTGGTCAGGATGGTCTTGAACTCCTGACCTCAGGTGATCCACTCGCCTCAGCCTCCCAAAGTGCTGGGATTACAGGCATGAGCCACCACGCCTGGCCTCCTATGCCCCTTTCTTTGTGTTTTTTTTTTGGCAACCCTGTTTAACCCCCATGCCAAGATAGGAAAACTTCTGATGCTTCCCTTTTACTTGACACCTCCCCTCCCATCTCATTTTGTTTGCAGTAAACAAAACCATCTTTTTTCCATTTGCTCAACATTTATAAGCATCAGGAAGCTCTGCGGTTATGTGTGTGTGAAGTTGTGTGTGGCTGTGTGATTTGACAGGTGGGTGCTGTATGATGGCATGGTTCTTTGTGTGGGGTGTTTGTGTTTGAGTCAGAAATTATGCTCTCCACACCACGGCTTGTGTGGGGTCGTCTCTCCCATGAATAGCTCTACCCTTTAAACTCCTCTCACACCGGGCTTATCCTCTCCGTAAACTCTGACCATTTAGTCCCACCATGCCTTGGCTGTTCCTCTCTCCTCTACTTGAAGGACCCTACTTCACCAGCTGGCAAACTCCTACTCATCCTTCAAAGCCCAGTGAAATCTTACCTCCTGCGGGATACCTGTTGTTTCTCTAGTTCTCCTCCCCACATTCATCATTTCTTCCCTGTATCATCCTGGCATTCTGTGAACAGTTCTACCGTAGCAGTGATCATGTGAGTGAATTTGGCCTGTGTCCTTGATGACCTTTGCATGCATACACAGGCATGCAGTGTGTGTGTGTGTGTGTGTGTGTGTGTGTGTGTGTGTGGTGTGGTGTGGTGTGTTTATAGCCCTACTTGCAGGCACTTGATAGATTCTTAATACATGTTTATTAAATAAATGAGAATAAATTGCTTACTCGGTTTTCCAAAGCATTTTCTTTGTACTATGTTAGAAGTACGTCTCTGTGCAATGACTCTTGCTTGGCCTTCCTGCATCACTCCGGCGTGTTCCCGAGCATGTCACCCGGGTGCATACCGCAGTGTTCAGCTGCACATGTGTGCTTGGGTGTACGTGTGTGCATGCATGTGGCTCTGTTTCAGTGCTTCTGTAAATGGAAAGCTGTGGCTGCCCCTCCCCAAGCTGACATTCCCTCAGCGCCACACCCCCACCTTTGAGGATTGAAGGAGTGACTGGGTGGTAACCTCCCCAAGGCAGCTTTGTCTACCCACCTGAGGTCCCCCTCCAAGAACGGTGACCCAGGGTTTCCCATCCATCCTGGGGGCTGAGCTCTCTGTGGCCTCGTCACATCACACTCCCTTCCCTATCCATCTCTGCCCTGTTTAATTGGAATTTGGCTAGTGGAGACCATCTGTTCTATTCCGGCCTGTTTCCATGACAACCAAGTGGCTTGAGACTGAGGTTTGTGGTGAGAGAAGTGGCCTGGGGGATGCTGGGAAAACCAGCTAGGTCCTCCCCCTCAAACCCGCCCCGCCTCACCCTGCCCTCTCTCCATAAACCCAGAGTGAAAATAAAGCTGTTCCCTGCCTGAGAGTTGGGGAGTCCCCAAGCATCAATCTCCCCTCCCAGTCCCCAGCCCCAGTGTTTCCCATGCTCCTTTCAGGCTTCCCACACGGGGCTCCCCTCCCTCCCTGCTTCCATTCAAGAGTGCCTTCTTCCCTTGCAGACTACGGAGCTGGCCCTGCCCTTCTCCCCAACCTCCCTGCCACCAGCCCCCTGGAAATCAGTGCTTCCTCACAGCCTGGTTACAGATGCTCAGGGCCCCACAGAAAAGACTCTTTAGAGGGTAATCTGGGCTTCTTCTGCGCCCCTGACCCTGCAGGCTCCCTCCAGCCCCAGGTGGCAGAGTGGCCCAGACAAGTGCATGGCAGACAGAGGCGCCCTGGGCCTCTGTGGAGCTGGCAATCCCAGATTCTCGGGGCTGAGACCGTCCTTGGCACACTGGGATGCGCGAGGCGGGTCTCTTCTTTCTGAACAGACAGTTCTGTTTCACGGTGTTATTTTCTGCCCTAATTTCCCCATCTATGGCAAAGCTTCTTCGTGCCTGTTCTATTACCAAGGGACCCGCCTGTCTTCAGAAATAGGTGGTGTGGCTTGTCAGGTGACCGTCTGTCAATCTGGTCCCAGGCATCTCGTGCAGGATATGTGCGATAAGTTGGCTATGTGGGCAGGCGTGGGGGATGGACTATCTCAGGATCTCTCTGGTGCCCCCTTCCCCAGCAGAATCAGTCCTGGGCAGGGGAGGAGGGAAGCTGAGTTTTGGACTTCAGAAGGCTGGTACTCTTAGCAGCTGCACTGAGCTGGGGGCCCCCAGACTTGGGGGTGCTGCAGGCTTGCAGAGGTCTTCTGGTAGCCTGCCTGTCTCCAGCCTAGCCCCCGTCATCCATCCTTCATATGCCTCTTTTCTTCTTTCTTCTTGACTGAGATATAATTCGGAAACCACAAAATTCGCCCTCCTAACGGGTACGATTCAATGGCTTTAGTATATTCACAGAGTTGTGCAGCCATCACCACTGCCTAATCCACAGCATTTTCATCACCTCGAAAAGAACCTCGGGACTCATTAGCAGTCACTCCCCATTTTCCCTCCCCCGCCCCTGGCAACCACTCATCTACTTTCTGTGTCTATGGATCTGCCTATCCTGGACATTTCATATAAATGGAATCATACAGTATGTGGCCTTTTGTAACTGACATCTTCTACTTAGCATTCCATGTGCCTCTTTCCAAAGCACAGATGTGACCATGTCACCACTTTGCTTAAAAGGCGTCAGTGGTTCCCAGTTGCCTACAAGGTGAAGTTCAGACTCTTATCTAATACAAAGCCCTTTTACAATTGGCTCCTACCTTGCTTTCCATTCACCCTGTATTCCCCTCTCCTCTGCCCCAGATATCCAGTGCTTGAGCCACATCGAAGCTTTTAAAGACACTCTTTCCTCTTCCCCTTCTGTTCCCTTCTCTCTCTCTCTCTCTCTCTCTCTCTCTCTCTCTCTCTCTCTCTCTCTCTCTCTCTGACTGCTGCTTATCCTGTAGGATCCAGCTAAAAGAATCTCACATCTTCTGTGGTGCTTCCATCACCTTCAGACATAATCACTCCTCCTTCTGAGCTCCCATTGCTTTGAGTTCGTTGTTTTTTTGTTTTGTTTTGTTTTGTTTGAGACGGAGTCTCACTCTGTCGCCTGGCCAGAGTGCAGTGGCACGATCTCGGCTCACTGCAACCTCCACCTCCCAGGTTCAAGCAATTCTCCTGCCTCAGCCTCCTGAGTAGCTGGGACTACAGGCGCATGCTACCATGCCTGGCTAATTTTTGTATTTTTAGTAGAGACGAGGTTTCACCATGTTGTCCAGGATGGTCTCAATCCCTTGACCTCGTAATCCACCCACCTCGGCCTCCCAAAGCGCTGGGATTCAAGGCGTGAGCCACTGCACCCAGCCGGGATCGTATTTTTAAGAAACAAACAAAAAACTGCATTTATCACTCAGTCATTATTTGTTTTCATGTCTGGGGTCCCTGCTAGACAGAGCTTTTAAAGGAAAAGAAGATGTCTTAATCTGTCCTGTTCCTCCACATTCCTACCTCTTGCCACTACCACTATCACCTTCACTCAAAAGATGCCAGCACCATGCTTGGCACATAGTATAGGTGTGGTAATGCTTCGTGGAGTAAAGCCGGGGAAAAAGTGTGGAGGTGATGGAGATCCCAGCCCTGATTTGATATTTTGATACCTGCCTATGGTGTGTAATTATCAAATCGGGGCTGGGATCTCATGTATCCCCAAAATATATACAACTATGATATATCAATTAAAAAAAAATAAAAGCAAGGGGAAGAACCAGAGCCAGTAGATTTAATCCAAGAGAGACAACCCTATAGAAGAACCTGGAGGAAGGAGAGGGTTCCACAACTTGGCATAGCCGGGACAGGGAGGGGTATGACTGGGCCTGCAAACTGCCACATGGGCAGTTGGAGAGGGGAGACGGTGGGGCGGGGTCGTTCCCCCTGTTAGACAGCCTTGTGGAATGTTGTGGTGGTCACTAGCATGAGAGATGGGGTGGAAGGTTTGGCAGGGGTGGGAGGAGAATGGGGAACAGCCATAAAAGAGAAGGTGGGGGTGACCTTTAGCCAGAAAAGGCGAGTACTGGGTACAGGGGAGGTTGATCCCAACAGACAGAACCGCTCACCCATGCAAAGGCCCCAAGGCAAGCGGGAGCCAGTGCCTGAAGGACCCGGGAGCGGAGCCCAGCGTGGGATGAGGAGAGAGGGCAGCAGTGAGGCTGGGCTGGTGGAGTGAGCAGCAGCCCAGTCACCCAGAGAGGTTTAGGACAAGGCCAGGGTGGCGGCCCTTACACCCGTGTCTGATAAAAAGCTCCCTGTCCTTCAAGGGTCTCTTAAGGATGAATGACCTTTCCCTGTCCACCCAGCCAGCAGGGGTAGCAGTGGGCCTACTTCCCTTGCCAGATGGAAACTACCGGGAGGCAAGTGATGGATTCTAACCCCTCTCCTTCCTCACCCAGCCCCAGGGGGAGAATTGAGGGATGGGAAAGATTTAGGTTCCTTACCACATACTGGCTTTGTGCCCTTGGATACCCTACACCAACGCTCTGGTCCTCAGTTTCCTCCATGAATGCTGACCCACTGAGGGCAAAAGTGGGATAACGATATAAACCTAGAGGGCGTTCATGAGGATTGAATAAGATAGTGTATACAAATGCTCTGAAAGGGCTGTGCTGGCATTGATTCTCCTATGTGTTGTCAGAACAAAGTGCCAGAGGCCCAGGGTCTCTGGTTTGAAGGAATCACCAAGGCCCCTGCCCTTTTTTATGCCGTTGTCTTTGATGACATTTCCAAGGGATTAGAAGCCCTGGTAGGGGCAATATCATGCTGTTATTTGAAATTGACTCGAAAGCAATCAATACTATATTTTCTGGGGGGAAACACAAATTTAGCTTCCACCCTCACTCCAAGGGTAGATGTGTGCAGAGAGAAAATACAGTGGCCCCTGGCAAGGGGGTCCCTCCCTCTTCCTGGCACCCAGGAGTTCTCAGAGCAAAGGAAAATGGGTCCTTCCTGCTGCTGGAGGATGAGTTGGGGTGGGCCCAAAGCCTTCTCCACTGGGAGTTACAGAGGCCACTGGCTCTCCCTGCTGTGGGATCCAGTTCCCAAGGAGGGTGCCAAACAGACCTTCTGCCCCTACAAAAACAAACCTGTCTAATTGCCTTTAATCTTGGGCTGTCGGTCCGCGGGTGTTGGTGCTGAATAGTAAGAGGAGATCATATCTTTCCCTTTGAGTGAAAAGTTATTTGATCTCTGTGTGTCAGTGGAAAGCCTGTGCCCGGAGAAGAGGTGGGGACGGAAGGGGAAGGTGGAAGGAGAGAGGAGCGAGGGCCTGGCTGGCGGCCGAGGGGAGGCTGCAGCTGAGGGCTTTATTTCTCCCACTAACCATCATAAATAAAGGGAACAAGCATCTCACTTGTCTTGGCTCAAGGCCATTGTTTTGTGCAGGGCTCCCTCTTCACCCCTGCCTCTCCCCACCTCGCTCTCAGGCCCAGGATGGGAAGACAGCTTGTCTGCAGGGAGAGGGAGCGGGCTGCCAGCTGTCTCACCTGAAGGGGTGGGAGAGGAGGGCTCTGAAGACCTGGATGCAGCCCCTGCCCCGCCTCTGGCCTTGTCACTCCCTCCCCAGCTCTGCAGAGGCTGCTGAGATGCCCCAGATGATTGCAGTCACCTCCACCAGTCTCCCTGCCTGCACTCCCTCCTGTTTATTCTCAGCAGTTGTCAGTGATCTTGTTAAAACAAAGCCAGGTCACAGATCTCATTCCTCTGCTCACTACCTCCAACGTGGTCCAGCTCAGGGGAGAGTCCTGGGCCCTGCATCAATCTCTCCTGTCTGGCTACACCAGCCACTCTTATCAGACGCTCTCCTGCCACAGGGCCTTTGCACCTGCTGTCTGCTGCCTCTGCCTGAAATGTTCTCCCAGGTGGCCACATGGTTGGCTTGCTCACCCTTTTTTGTTCTTCACTGAAAGGTCTCCTTTCTCAGTGAGGTCTTCTCTGGCCATCTTTGATCTAAAATTAATTAGTCCTACACACACTTTATCTTCTTTATTGTCTGGTTGCCATTGCTAAAACATAAATTCCATGAAGACAGAATGTTTTCTTCTTTGTCCAATGCTGTATGCCTGGGACATAATAGGTACTGAGTGACAGCAGGAATATTTTAATAAATGAATACCCCAGTGGACCACTGCCTCTGCCTCCTGTGCCTGGACCCTCTGTTCCTGCATGCAATCATGTGCAGTCTCCCTGAAATTCCTGCTCATGAAGGCCTCATCTCGAGCCCTGCCTGGCCAGCACATACTTCATCCCTCATGGTCCCACCCCAGCCTGTGATATGGGCTGCCCTCCCACAGAGCCTTATCATCCTGCAGAGTTTTATGGCATCTACACAGTCCTCTCACCTTGTCTTCCTAGCACTCTCTGAGGTCAGAGCTATCACCCTGGTTTACATCTGAGAAAAGAAAGTTCAGAGGTTAATGACTAATTTGCTTGAAAACACTACCACATGTAAGTGACAGGGCCAGGATTCAAACCAGATCTTAGCCAGAGCTGTCTCCTCACTGCCCAGGGTCCCAGTATACCTGGCACCGTGGAGGCAGTGGAGTTGACAGGCTGAACGGGTTGAGCTGCACATCTCATTACGTTAGCAATAAGCTACCTTGCATTTTCCGTGATCGATCCTTTTGGGATCTCACGTAGAGTGCGGGTGGTGGGGGACTTTACCGATAATCCAGGGTGATGGAAATCCAGGGTGTGAGGCAGACAGGAAGCTGTTCGCTAATGTGGGCCAGGTGTGCTTTCACGAAAAAGCATCAGCCTCGGTGTGAGGAGTCCTGCCTCAGCCACTTGCAGGTTGGGTCATGTCAGGCAGTCTCTGGCCTTGATTTCCTTATCTGTCCTGCAAGTAAGTTGGGCTAGTTACTCCTGGGGAGCTCTAGGAGTCTCCCAGCCCATCCTAGGTGCACAAGGGATCTGTGTGGAACTAGCTACTATTCTCCTACCACTTGGTCAAGTCCAAGGCAAACACCAAGAAGTATACAAGAGAGGGTGGTGGTGTGACTTCTGAGGGCCAGTCAGCCTGTGAGCTCTAGAGATGTCTGACTGTCCCTTGCTGAAAGATATTTATCTGTCCCTTTGGTGCCAGCATGATGGCCCTTCCTGACTCCTGGACCTCTGGCACGTGGGACACAGAGTGGGGCCAGGCAGGAGACGCTCATGGTCAGGTCCTCTGCCAGGAGCATTTCTCAAACCCACGTGGATCCCAGACCCTTTCCACTGGAGCTGGGGAAGCTTTGAGGTGCCTTGGCCTCCTGGTCATGCCGTGTGCAGTCACCTCTTAATTGTTGATCACCTCCTATGTGCAGGCCCTGGCAGGTGCTGGGCATCAGCTCTGAGCAAAGCAGGTGCCATGTATGTCCTCATGGACCTCACAGGCTGGTGGGGGGCCAGACACTGAATATGCTTTTTGAGTGTGGCAAAGGCCTGAGCCTGGTGGGAGCATAGAGCAAGGAAGATTTAGCCCATTCTGGGGGACAGGGATGCCTCCCACGGCAAGGGATGCTACCCAAGGCATGAAGAATGAATGGGCAATGGAGAAAGAGAAAACAAGGGAAGAACCCCTGAGAAGGCCCTGGGTCAGCCAAAGGTGTGGGGACCACAGCGTCAAAAGCTACCATCTTCTGAGCACTCCCGTGCCAGGGCCAGCTCTCAGAGATTTGTTTATTTAATCTTCCCTACAGCCTTTGAGGGAGTGATTATTCTCTCTCTGGTTTTATAGATGAGGAAACAGGTACAGAAAGTTTAAAGTCACAGAGCTTGCAAGTGGCAGAGCTAGGATTTGAACCCAGGAACCTGGAGTCAGAGGCTTCTCTGCTATATAACTAGAGAGAATGGGGATCTTCAGCAGATGCCCCTGGTGAGGTTGGACTCGATGGGGGCAAGTGGCAGGGCCAGGCCAGGCCCAACCAGAAGCAGAAGGAATGATCCTCTTCTTTCCAGCAGCAGAGCTGGCCTGACAGTACACAGATGGCCTCGGCCACAGCCCTGGACTGGCCTTGATGGCATCTGGCGGTGGCTGACCCACTCCCAGGCTCTATATCAAAAGGCCTGGGGAAATGGACTTGCTCTTCAGCAGAAGGGATTGAGATGAAACCGCAGGACGAATTTCCCAGCTGTCATGACCATACGCTATTAAAACAGGCAGCCGAGGGAGGTAGAGGCCCTGGTGGGAAAGGTTAATGGCTTGGTTGCTCAGAGCTGCTGGAGAGGTGAGTGAGGTAGGGGAAGGTCCAGGATGACCCCTCCAGGGTCTGGAGATGAGATCGCATCATACAGATCAAAAACACTGTCCCACAGGAAGAGGACACTGTCAGCTGTCCCCAGGCTGGTGCCACCCTCTTCCTGGGACCCTGTCTGCCCCAGCCCTGCCATCGGACTTCATTAAATTGCATTTTCCCAGAGCAGGGCAGGCCAGTGACAGAATGAGTCAACGCCAGCTTGCTACAACTGTCGCCCCTGGAGCCGGCAGGCATAGAGGGAGATAATTGGGAGTGGTTTGACAGCTTAATGTCTGGGGCTGGCTTCCTGGAGCAGTGGAGGGGTAGGGATGGGGCGGGAGCCAGTGAGGAGGAGGCAGGTGGATTTGGGCTGCCCCTGTCTTCAGATTGACCCCCCACCACCACCTTTCCCCTCCATTTCCCTAGCAGCAGCTTGTTGGGCAGGAAAATAAAGCACCGGGAAGGAAATGAGATCTGGAGAATAAATTAGGCTTTCTTTATTAATTTGTCAGATCTAATTAACATCTCCCCTAGGTTTGTCTTCTCTCCAGATTCCCCCCCAGAGCCAGGAGGAAGAGAAGAGTCTGGGAGAGGCCAGGTTTGGGCTTTGAAATCCCAGCCCCGGCCTCTCCCCTCAATACCAACCCCAGAGCAGAGAAGGACAGAGGAGGTGTCACTCAAAGGGGGGCCTGTGGTCCCATTCTAGGGACTGCAAGCTGACAGGGCCCCCACAGTGGATCTTATCCACTTGCCTGGGGTTCTGAGCCCCAAACACCCCTGGCATTTTACCTCTCTGTGCTTGGGCCACTTCAGAGAAGCAGAGTCAGTGCCCACCTCATTCAGAGTTGGTAGGAGGATGGCCAGCAACAGGCACTGCTCAGAGGAAAAGTCAGCTCTTAATTATTTTGAGACAGAACTTCACTAAAGCTCTGGAAGGTTCTCAGAGTTCCTTCATACTCATGATGTCACTTTGGTTTGACCCTAGCAATAATCCCAAGAGTTATAAGAAGCAATAATTGGTGTTCCCATTTCACAGATGACACAGCTGAGGCACAAAGCAGTTACATACATACCTTACAAGGCCACGCAGCAAATGGCTGGCAGAGGCAGGATCAGCGCTTAACTGAGCAAGCGCCCTGCTCCCCAGCCTCCCCTCCTGAGCATATACCTGCACCCCCACACCTGCCCCACTGCAGAGACCTGACTCACGGCTGGTAGTCTCACTAACTAACAGACGCCTCACTTCCTGGGTGTAAGTTCAAGGTCCCAGCCCAGGAGCCACCCTTGCCCATTGACTTGGGCAAGAGCCTGGATTTGCTTCACAAAGTTGGTGCCTTTTCTCATATACCCCCATCCCAGAAAGGGGCCCCAGCCCTGGTTTCAGAGAGTCACCAGCTCTGAGAAGCGCCTCTCAACAGGTACAAGAAGCCCTTGACAGAGCCACACCTTGCATACACTTTGAAGGGTTGCAAAATCCAGTCTGTTTCATATCCCGCCACACTGTGATCACGTCCTAGAGGTTTCGTTTCCTCTGAGCTACAGCCCCCAGGACCCTGGGAACGTGGGAGTCAACATTCCCACCCATCCTCCCACCCCCAGGCCTGACAGCTTGTTGCCTTCCACACCTGCAGCCTCTTGGAGGGTGGCTGCAGAGCAGAGACCCCCAGACTGGCCAAGCCAAATGGAGCCTGAAGGAAGGATTATTCGAGCAGGCTTCCTGTGTTTTAAATGAGGAAACTGAGGTCTGGAAAGAGAAAGCCACGTAGTTCACTGGCTTTTGGCAGCATCAGGATTAGTACCTGGGTCTTCTGACTCCCAACCCAGGCCCCTTTCATGAACTAGGTGTCCGTACTTGGCAAATGGCATTGTAACTAAATGCATTTGTCCCATTAGGGACTCTTAGAGCCAAGAACGGGCAGCCTCCCAGGGAAGGTGGGGTGTATGCCAGTGGTGTCAGACCAAATGTCAGTGTCCAGGGCTAGGTCCCATCACACCCCCTCCCTGTCTCAGTGACAACAAGGGCACAGATTCTCCCCCAGATCTCCTGGCAAAACCCTCAGGCGGGCCCTCACCCCAGCAGGGGACATGTGGTCCTGTTCCAGGACCTCGAATCCTGAACACGGTTGTAGCTACAGTCCCTCTTCTCCGGTAACAGTTCACGCTTTAGAGTTTGTTTTATCTGATGGTCCCCACAAACCTCAAGGGCTGGGGTGGTGGTGGTTCCCACTTTAAGAGGGGGAATAGAGACCCAGAGAGGTTGTGATTTTTCGACAGAGCTGGGCCTGGAAAGCAGCCCGTACTCTGTGGCCTTGGAGAGGAACGGTGAGCTGGTGGGGCACACACAGTACTTGGAGTCAGAAGACCTGGGTTTGAATCCTGGCTCTGCCACTAACCGTGACTTTGGCAGTCCCAAATGCCGCTCAGCTTCGGTGTCTTCAGCTGTCTCCTAACACCTGCCTTGGAAGGCTGTGCTGAGGACTTCGTGAGCACTCCAGGGCATCCACCTGAGTGTCTTCCAAAAGGCCTTACCCCAGGCTCCGGCTGCTCTCCTTTGCATGTTTGTGGGTGACGAGGGAGCAGGCAGAGATGGAATGGGGCCCTCCAGCCATCCTATGACTCCTGTCAGGCCCGGAGGCCCAGCCACACCTGCCCGCCAGAGGTGCCAGAGTGCAGGGGTGGGGCAGGCCACTGGGACGGGGACCTCTGTTCTCCAGGACTCGGGGCTGGGCATCAACATAGCTGGGTGTGGCCGGCCTGGTGAGAAGGACGCAGGGAGAGGGAGGAGCTGGGCTAGTTGGCTTCCGCTGGCCAGCCATGGGAAAGAGTACCAGAGTTCCCTTGAGGACAGTCAGAACTCTTAGACGGCAGGAACTCAGGAAGGAGACGAAGAAAAGTCCCCTCAGCTCAGGTCAAAGCCCCAGCACTGGTCCTTGTTTTCCTGCCTCCTTGGGGCTCACTGCATGCCACAGTATGAGCACAGGCCTGTGCTGGCACCTACCAGGGGGCCAGCTGGCAGAGACCCACGACACTTCCCCTTATCCTCTGCAGAGAGGATGATCCCAGCTCTTTGCAGAGCTCTCCTGGGTCCCCACCTGAAAACCACAGGACTCCAGGACCAGAGCAGGCACCACAGGCCAGAGTGAGGATGCTGATTTGCAGGGAAACAACTGAGCTGTCTGACACCTGTTGTGGACCTTTGAGGCTGCCCGTTTTTCTGCAGGCTGGCACAGGACAACTTAGAGAATCCATACAAATGAGAACAGCCGTGGCCTTTGGGGAGGGCCTGGAACCCACTTTGGGATGTTAGAAAGGGTCTGCTCTGGCCCTGATGGTCGGTCTTAGCTGGCAGCCCAGTTCATGATCCCAGGGTACCCATATATCAGTCCGCCACCTCCAGAGCAATTATTCTGTGTCAGGCAGTTGGCTAACCCTGTTCATACATTATTTCACTGAATCCTTATAGCCATTTTGTGGTAAAATATGAAGTCCATATTACAGATGAGGAAACTGAGGCTCACGGGGTTAAGGCAACTTGCCAATGACTGCAAGAGCCCATTCCCAGGTCTGTCCACCATGCAGGCTCCCTCTCTACTCCCCACTGCTCTCCTCATGGAGAATAACTACCTGATCCCCAGCCCTGGTACCTGATCCCACGGGCCCAAGCATACCACCTGAGAGTGTGCTTCCCTTGTAGTAAGAGGAATTGAGGGTGGATATCAGGAAGAATTTCTCCCCTACTGAAGGGTAGAGAACATTTTAGCAGTTTCCCAGGGATAAATGGTAGAATCTCATATGATGAAGACCTTGAAAGAAGGGGAAGAGATTATTTAATCACCCGGGTGGAGTTTTTTGGAGTAAAATCTTGCCAGCGTCAGGGGGTAGTGTATGACAGTACCTTTCAGTTGGGAAAGGCTCAGGCCCCCAACTCTGGCGGGATATGACCTCCATTTGCTGTCACCTTGCCACAAGGGTCAGGCATGGGAATTACATTTCCAAGAACTTTCTTGTCCAAGTCCACTTGGGAGCCTTTGCCAACTGGTGCCTGGGGCAGCATGTCAGGCAGGGCAGGACCTGGACCTGGGAAGGTGTGGTCCCCAGCTACCTGTCTGGGCAATAATTGGATCCACACTGAGAGCTCTGCCACTCTAAAACCCCAGTTTTTGCTCTTTCTTATCCCCTTCCCTGTAAGGAGCTGGGAGAAGACTCAGGCTGGGCAGGTTATCAAGGGCTTCAGCCTCTGCAGCCACCCTGGGGAAATAACTCTTCAGCAAATTTGTTGAGAACTTGTAACACACACACACACAGTGACTAGGCACTGCCTGCCTAGAAAGCTGGAATCTGGTCTGAAGAGAGGGTTCTAATGGAGGAGGCGGAAAAGCAAAAGGTACTGTCAGTCTGAAAGGGAGCACAGAGCACCACAACCAGAAGACTCAGGTTCAGGTTCTGGATCCACCACTCTTTAGCTATGCAAAGTGGCAAATTTCTCAACCACCAGGCCTCAGTTTTCTCTTCTGTATAATGGGACTATCACTTCCAGAAGATGGAAGTGAAGATATGAGATCCTAAAAGAGAAGCACTTCAGAGTGCCTGGTAGGTAGAAGGTGTTCAGCCAATAGTGGTGGAGATAAAATAACTTGCTGCCAGAATCTGGGAGGCAGGAAGCACGGATACTGTCCACCAGGATTTATTTTCAGGGTTGAGGGAGTCTACGAAGAAGGGGGGCTGAGCCTTATAAAAACTTGGGCACATAATCTGTCTAATCACTTTGAAGATGAAAAGTTGCTGTGAAATGGCAACCATGCTGATGGGACCAGGGCTGGAGCAAAGATGAAGAGACACAGCAGGGCCAAATGTGTAAAAATCAAATGCGTATTTTTTAATTGCTTGAGTTCACATCTCATAAAAGAAAAAATAATAAAGCGCAAGCCCTTGCCATTCCCTACCCCCTTTCTCGGCTGTGAGTCAAGAACCAGTTCCGACCAGTCTTTCTGGGGTTCAAAGCGTCTCCTCGCCCTAATCCTCACCACGACCTCCCCGCCCCCCTCATCTATTGTGGGTGAGAGGGCCTTTCCCTGAGCTGCACACTCGCTGCCACTCCCAGGGCCGGCCTCTGCCTGCTGCAATGGGCAGCACCCAGAGTGGGCAGGTCTGATGGGAGGCGGGCAGGGGGCTGGAGAGACAGGCGGCCCTCCCGCCTCCCCTGCCAGGCCTCCTGTTGATCTTAGCATATTGTGCGGGTGACATGGCGCGGCTATCTCACTATTCTCAGGCCTCAGCACTGGTTCCTCCCTAGACAATGTGGCAAGATGCCTTCCAGCCTCGCCCCTATCTGCCCCTATGCTGCCAGCAGTCCTGCTTCCTGGGGCCCGCCTGAGCCTGTAACCCAGAAGAGGCGGGGCCTTGGGCCAAAGACCCACAGAGTCAACCCTGGGCAATTGCCACTCTAGGGAACCCACCCTTTCCTGGTTCCTGCCAGCCCTCATCCCTGTGTCCTCAGAAATGGGACAGACCTCCTGCCCCTTCTCTCTCGCCCCCACCGCCCAGCCCTGACTCACCTCCCTCACTTCCCACTCAAGCTGTGCCTCTGGGACATGCCGGGACAGGGCTTCTGGTTCTGGTCCTACAGGCTCCGTCTCTGCCCGCTCTCAGTGGGGGTGGGGCAGGTGGGGAGGATGTGCTTTGACCTGCTTCTTCAGCTTCCCTCCCTCCTCCAACCCCACCCCAGGGGGGCAGGCAGGGTTGAACTCCCGAGCACCTCCTGACTGCACTGACAAGAGGCCCATCAGCTCTGTGATGCTGTAGTCTAGCTGGGGGGTGGGGTGCTGTCATCTTCACCTTACTCCAGGCAGCGTGGGGCACCAAGCCACCCTCCAAAGACAGACTCTTACCTTTGGGC